TGTCTTTTATTAAATATTCACTTTTATTGATTATTTCATAATTCAATTCATTGATTATTTTTTTATTCTTTGTTTGTTTTTGTTATTTTCATTGTTAATTAATTTCATTTTATTCTCTTGTTTTATTCTCAATTTATTCATTATATTTATTTATTATTTATATTATTTATTCTCTTCATATATTCATATATTAATTCATGTTTAATTTGTATTTTTCTTATTTACATTACAGTTTATTATCATATCTTCATTTGTTGTTATTTTATCATTACAAATAGCACACAATTTCATTTATTATTTTATGTAATTATTAATTTGTTCATTTAATACCAATATACCATTTTCTTTCTTTAATTTCATTGTTTGTATTCAATTCTTTTTATATTAATATTCTTCATGATTTTATTTGTCATTTCATTATCACTGTAGTTTATTAATTAGTTGTTCATTCATTTTCATTTATTATATTTCATTCTATTTATTCTTTAATTATTTTATTAACGAAGATGAATTATTCTTATTTTGTATATTTTGATATATTTCATTACATTCATTTTTATTATTTCTTTTACTATTCAACATATTAAAAAAGAAAGAATAATTAAATATATGTAAAAGTGTCTAATACAAAGAAGAATATATAAATATATCAAGAAACAAAATATAAATAGAAATTAAATTACTTAAAAATTTTTCATTTATAATTGTGCTTTATTAAATAAATCATTGATCCAACATCAATAAAGAAAGAACTGGATTTGTATTTTTGTAATTGAAAAATTTAACATCAATTAACATATCGAAAAGAGTTAATAGAATAAGATATTTATGTTTTGAAGTATTTCTTTTATCGATTACTTTGAATAGTCCAATGTTTGTAAATGAAATAGGAAAAGACTATTTTAAAAAAATGTTCGTCATAAATTGAACTTAATATGCAAAATATCTTCTTTATTAGTAAATATCGAATATTTTTTGATGGGTATCATTTGTTATTTATTTACACTGACAATTCACAAAGAACTAATATGAAAGAAGTAGAAAGAGGAATGGTTAATGAATTTATCCTTCCATTAACAATTAAAAACATAGAAAAATAACATATTTTTATAAATACTATCAATTATCATCAATTAATATTCCAACAAGAGTCAATGAATTTGAAGATAGTGGTTTTAAAAAGTATAGTTCAGTAGAATCAATTAACATCCATACAACTAATATATTAGATGATAATTTTTTTCTGAATGTTTGTCATTAATCTCAATTAATATTCCATCATCATTTACTGAAATTAGATTTTGAATGTTTTTACAGATGTTGATGTGAAGAACATTAAGAGAAAATAAAAGAATACCAAGAGAGTCTTTTAAAAGCAGTGAGTAATAGAAATATAGATAAACATCTAAAAATAATTAAATTAGAATAAAACAAGTAAAACTGTTTGGAAATTCCTTTAAAAAGAAGTTACAAATAAAAAAGAAAGAAATATGAAAAATAAGAAAAACAATTCATACAGATAAAAAGAGGAAAATGAAACACCGCAATATCGTTAACAATAATCCAATAATATTAATGAATAAAAATGAATTACAATTGTCTCATTAAGTTAACAGTGATAGTGAACTAATGACAAATTAAATGAATAATAAGAAATAATATAAATTAATAACCAAATTACAACACTTTATTATTGACAATAAATATAACCTCTTCCTTAGCTTATGTTGTTTATTTAACATTAAATGTATCTTTTAATTATTTTAATTATTCTTATAGTCTTAATTACCTTTAAACTCTTCTCAACACAATAAATACAACTATTTTTATTATATTATTATTAAATAACATTGCTGAGAGTTATAAAAAATTAAACAAGCAGTAACTTATCAATGACATTCATAAAAATGAATATTAATTGAAACCAATGAAGTATTAGTATTTATTAATACTAATATTTGATATTGCTTTTAACCACCTTTACATATTAATGTTCCTCCATTTCAGATGATTATTCATAATATACTTTTTATAATGATATAATGTTTTTTTGTTCATAATATTTTCTATCTCTCCTTTTAAAATGTATTATTATCCAATCAATAACATTAATATTTTATTGAGAATGAAATAAAATTAAATTATTTCTTAGCAATTCCTCCTTTTTTCATTGGCATGTATTTCTTCTTTTCTTCAAGTTCTCGTTGCATCCACCACATAGTTCCTTGACCAGCTGAACCAGCTGACAATTGAACTTCTTTAAGATATGCCTCAGCTTCTGCAACTTTCTTTTGTGTATCTTCAACAGCTTTTTCAGCAACTTGAGAATCACTTTCTGCTTTTTCTTTAGCTTCAGTAGCAATTTTAACAGCTTTGGCAGCTTTTCTTTGAGCAGCTTCAAGAGTAGTTTTAGCTCTTCTTAAAGGTAAGTCATCTTCATTATCAAGTTTAGCTAACTCTTGAATAGCAGCATTCTTAGCTACCAATCCAGCAGTTTCTATCTTCTTTTGAAGTGCTTTTCTTTTATCTTCTTTAGCTTGTTCCTGTGCTTTAACTTCATTTAAAGCTTTAGTAACTTCATCCTCTGCAGCTTGAGCTTCTTTTTGTCTTGCAGCAGCAGCTTCAGCAGATTTCTTAGCTTCCTCAGCTCTCTTTTGACAAAGTTCCAATTGTTTGGAGACTTCATCAAGAAGTTGTTGAGCCTTTTCAACTTGAGCAGAGTTATCACCTTGTGGAGCATTAGCTACTTTATGCCAATCCATGCCATAGTAATAAGTAAGGAAATGAAGCATTCCAACTC